TATATTTTCCCATCTTTGTTTGGATCTTGCAAGGACTTTGACATTAGAAAGTTATAAATACAAAATTGACAGACAATGGCTCCAATAAGTTATCTTTTGGAACACAGTGGGGTGATTAACAACTTGTTATCAATACATCATCTCAAAGAGCTTAACTTTGAGGGGGTCACATCACACATACTTCTGTCACCAAAAATGTTTTCAAGTGTTTAGAAATCATTTCCTTACAGTTCTTCTTACAGCACACTGTTTGCATTCTGAGACAGAAAAGCCATCATCATCTGCCTCCATGCATCATGATGGATTCCAGAAGCTGCTTTTTTCTGTCTCTGCGTGAATGACTCATGGCAACTAATGAGCAACCCAGCATCATTAAAATTCTAAATCCAAAGTTCAGTGGTTGATATGAATAAGGGAGGTGTTTAAAGACTGCTAGAAGGAGTCAACGATTGGCATGCTGTACAGCGATTTCTGTTTAATGCCATCAATTCTAGCCTTTTCAAAATCAAAACAGATAGGAGATTGAATTCCTATCTACAGAGATATCCATCACTAAGATACTTTTGTCAGTGGTGGAGTGGGGGATGGTGTGTGTGTGTGTATGTGTGTGTCAGGGGGTTCCAAACACAAAAAGAGGTACTGTTGCTTTCAAGGCAGCATGTCACCAGAGAGCATGAGAGCTATCAGTAGATTTAGCAGCAGTGTTCAGATTACGAATGTGTCAATTTATGGCTGACTTGAAAGCCCATCTGTACGACGGCACAGTTTAAAAGGGCGGCCACTTAAGAGTCCATCTGAACATCTGAAATTTGCTAGTGAATTCAACACAAGAACTGTTGTCAAAAAATCTCATGTCATCTCCTAAATAAAACCATTGAAGTTTGTACTTTCTATTTCAGTTTAGAAAAGAGTTTTGAATGAAATAAGAATTCAGCAGATGTAAAAGTTATTTGATCTTTCCTTAAGTTATCATAGGACAGCACTTTTTTTAGAATTCTGTGTTTACATCTGAATATAACAGTGCAATTTTGTTTACAAGGAATTTTAAAACCACAGGTTTAAAAACTCCTTGAAATTGTTACAAAATATTATGTTCATAATTATCTTTAGTAAAATGTTAAAAAATCAAAAGCTATAACCATACAGGAAGTCTTAATAGTGCATTGTACAAGTTTTCATCCCTTGATTTCAGTTCTATGACTTAATTACTTAAGTAATTAATTAAGTTCTACTCACAAGCCTTATCCATAACTGATTTTACATAAGTTCTAAACGTACAGAGAACTATTCTGAATTATAAAAATATAATTATTCAGTATATTTATAAAGAAAATATTTTGATCAGTGAAAAACTATTTTAGAACCCTATAATGACAATTAACACTAAATATACATAGCAAACACAATAAAAATAAACAAAACATTTAATAAATTTATAAATATTGTATTGGAAATGTCATTATTCTACTTTGTATTTATCACTTATCACAAATAAAACATGACATTCACAATTTTCAGCAAAAAAACACAAGGGAATACTCTAGATGGAGGATGCGGCAGAGAACAGAGCTTGAGAACAAAGCAAGTCTGAATGTAAAATGGAGTCCTGATGAATGTTGGTGGTGACAAATTACTGTTACTCCTTGCCTTTCGTCAACAGAAGTAACTCCCCACTCTACCTGCTCTTTATGTATCTAATGCAAACTTTTTTTGAGCCTTTTATCATGGGAGGCTTTATATAAAGTCAACTTTCTGTATGAGAAGAAAGAAAAAGCAGTGGTCCTAATATGAAACCCTGTGGTACTCCACTAATTATTTAGTGCACATCAGAGTTTCAGTAAGGTCAGTAATTGATGACCAAGAGATTGAAATACAATTTAGTTAGTTCCAAGGTTCTCCAGAAACCTTTCCTTCCAAAGCACCAGAGTTCAAAATATTATCTATTTATATTTATTTAAACAGAATTTACAAGATTGTGCAAATGTGTTCACGTACAGTAGATGGAAGAACTCAGAAATTCTTCCCCTGTTCCCAAAGTATCTACAGTATATTGCTTCCATGTTATGTGTCATGAACCCAGTCATTCATGAAATTGATGAAGAGACAAAATATTTTAAAAATATTTCCTACTTTGGAAAGAGTAATCATGTGCTAGAATTACATCTGCAGCAATTTTAAAATAATGTCATAAAGGGGACACTGTCAAGATACTGTGTGTTTTTGTGATGTTTATGCAAGAAAAGCTGTCAGATTTGTCAATGGTTTTAAGCATGTCTTTAAAAGAAATTTACCACTGCTGAGCTATTTACACTAAAATGGCCAGAACACAAACAAGCAAGACAGATAACAAATAAATATTTGAAAGACACTTTAAAGTAAGTTTAAAACAAAAAGGTACATTCACTAAAACACAAACACAATCTTTTATAAATTGAAAGATTTAATAAGCGTTTTAATTCATGCACAAGTATTCATCTTCAATGATTTGGTGATTCTGACTTAATGCAATTAGTTTGTGCTCAAAGATTAATTTCATCTTTGGAAGCATGGTACTGTATTAAAATAGTGTGTGTCTCAAGCCATTATCTCTAATGAAATCTGACAATTTAATTTGTAATCTGTCTTAGTTCTTGAGGGAAGGAGGCAGTGAAATCACTTGATGTTTAACTAAGTAGTATGTTAAATATATAACTTTAAAGGTTACACTATTCATACCTACAGTATAAAGCATATATCATATTTATATTTTAGACCTATCAATGTTGATACAGCTTGGCTTAATCCATTGAATGAAGGTTTGTTTCTTTTCATATTTTATTTTCTAAAACACACAAATTACTGTAACAAAACAATCACCTATTCATTATTTTTATAACCAGTTTTGACACTTGCTAATTGCATTTTTAGTTTGGCCAGAGGGTGGCAACGTGATGTGATAATTTTTGATTATTTTATTAATTATGTGTTAAGTTTCATGTGTTAAATAGTTTTAAAGCCTCAAATCACTTTAATGTAATTAAACTGGAAGAGGTGTTTTGCTGTGTTCTGATACATTAGTAAAAATAAGTCAGATTTATTAAATCAAATGCTCACAGTTTTTTTAATATCATTAGTAAATGTCTTAATGGATTTTGGCTGTGCTATTAACTTTTAGCAGCTCAAAAACAAAGTCAGTGTCTGAGGAATAAGATGCACTGAATAGTGAAAGTTCAAATGAGTGATTTAATATTCTGTAGAATAAAAAAGGATAATGTTTCTGTCATTCTGTATGAATCTATGTTTTAAAACAGGCAAACCCACTTATCCCTTTACAAAGAAATAAATGGGAAATAAACCTAAAGATGCAATAAATTAAACTCGTTACTTTAACACAGAATTACGTAATCCCTGAAGATGATTACTTCTGGAAGTGAATTAAAACACTTCTCAAACCTTTGGATATTTTAACTATAACATATTGTTTGAACATCAGTAAATGTAATTGTTTTAAATTACCATTTCAATTTTTACTTATTCTCTAGTCTATTTGTTTGTACTGCAGTGATTTGAGGTGCCTAAATATGTGGCACCAGCAGTAATTACATTGTGTAGTTGTGCTTATACTGTATATGCCTTCTCAATGACATCTACTTGTGCTGTGGGCACATTTAACAAAGCGCTAGCTTAACAAATGCATGGCTTTTATTCTCTCAGATGTGTTAAATTTGCAGATATGTTTGTAGAGATTAAAGAATTGTGATGGCATATATTTAGGACAATACAAAGTCCAACTTCAATTCACCTGCAAGTTTTTAAACAAGTTACAAAACTTGGTATTCAACCACAGGAGAAAGAGATTTTGAGAAAACAACAAATATTGAGTTCATAATTTTTAAAAGGCAAGCAGGTCATGTTTTTAACCTAATCTTACCATTGGTTCAACATACTGTATGCAAAACAGCAGCATCTAAATACACTAAGATATTTTAGGAGACTTTCTTATTTTTCAAAAAAGCCATTGAATTTCATTTCCCAAGGTTACTTTTTTCACACATTATGGACATAAATCTGCAAGGTTTCCTGATCTTGACTGGAGAATAGACGGAATATAAAAACTTTACTCTTTGCCCTGGGCAGAACTGCTAAGAATTTAGTTAGATAGTCTATTAAAATAATCTGAGTATGCCATAAATTGAATTGATGCTCATCACTGTGCAGTATGTGCATTTTTCTGTAAACTGCAACCAAGAGATTAAAATGAGATCTGCAGCCACATGGCCTTAAAGCCTGTTCATATTGCATGAGCTGAACACACCTCTGTTTGTTTAACATTTGGAAAGCTTCACATAAATTTTAATTAGCACTTGATGAGGTGAAATTGGATGAGTAGGATTAGTCTTCCCTCTGAGCTCCTTTAGGCCAGTGCAGAGAGAGGTGTACAGTTCTGTCTCAGAGTTTCCACCTTCAATGGAATGAGCTTATCTAAAGTTAAGTTCTAGATGTGTTCTGCAACTCGTGTCAATGAAATTAATATGTAATGTTATATTCAAGCTTCTATTTGTGTCGACAGTAATGAAAGTATTCCCTACCCCATTACCCCGTTTTAGTATATGACCAATATACCAGGCCATAGGTCTGCTGTCCTATAGGTGTGGTGCTGTATACTGGTAAGCTGCCATGCAGCACCACAAGGTCAGCTACTGAAGCTCAGCAGAGATGGTACTTTGAGATATTGAAGACTTAAAAGTACAACAATAGCATGTGATGCATTATGTGCACACCAAATATACAAAAATAGATGTTGACATTTGTTTTAATTTTCAGTTCTCCCTCAAAAAATAGAAAATAAAATGGATACAAGATGAAACAGTTACATAGTGTACATTGCTGAATCCCAACTATACAAAAAGGAGTTAAGCTTACCCACAAAGAAATTATTTCCATATCCAAAGAGAGATAACGATTGTCTAAAAAAAGGAAGGTTATATATTTTTCTCCTCTAGTCTCTTTCCTTTCCTTACCTTGCGGACTCCTCTACCCCTGTCTTCTCCATAGTTAGTCCCCAGGATTTCAAAATGAATGTTGGGGTTTGTTCCATTTTCATTAAACTCTAGGAAGCTTGTCAAGCCACTGACTCCACCCTGGAATGCAGAAACAGAAGTAATCATCAAATAAAATCTGATTTATTATTTCTTAAAATGTTTTCTTGATTTTCAAGAAACATGAGACCTTAGCAAAACAGAATGTTTTCTTCTTCGGCAAAATTAAAGTCAACATGAGTCAATGTACCCTTTTTTCCTTATAGACCTTTCCTAAATAAACAGGTAGTCCAATTTAATCATCACCAATATTTTACATTTCAAATGCCTTGCAGTATACAGTATGTAGCTTGAGGGAAATGGCTTACAGTTTCCCCTCCTCACAGAAATTCTGGATATTCTTTACAATTTGACACCTTTAGGTTGCTTTGCTTTTATTCTATTCATACTGTATAGTCTTTTTATCTGCATATAATACATATAATTTAATTTGCCATTTCTCGGCTAGATTCTGTAATCTGTTTGAATCCTTTAGGATTTTCATTGCTGTTGAGTGTTTAAATAATTTCGCGTCACCTGCAAATCTGACAAGTCTGCTAATGATAACAGAATCCTTGACACACATATAGATAAAAACAACAATGATTCTGAGTAATCCACCCAATACTTCACAGAGTGCTTCACCTCAGTTAAATGGAATTAATCTCAGATGTCTCAAACTCCTTGCTTTCTATCCATCATGTAATTCTGCTATACAGTACATACTAAGATCCCTTGGCCATATTTATAAGAAAAGGGAGTTAACCTCATTGCCCTGGCTAAAATCCACTCTGGGTTTTCACAGTAAGGCTTCTATAAAGCTCCCTGTAATTCAAATGGTGGAGCAGTATCTCACTTCTCCTTCCTCCCCCTCCACTTCTGCTGGGCAGTGGGATTGTTGTTAGAGAATGTCTGTAGGATAATGTGGGTCCCTCCCATTATGTAAAATTAGGGATACAAAGTGCTATATAAATGCAAAGATTTATTAATTACTCTCCTTTCTTTTTCTCTTGCAGCTACACAGAAAAGTGCATTTTTTGCCTTACTTTTTTTCAATGAGGTGCAATTACAAAAGACATTTTGTTAATCTTTTATTCCTGATTTTCCATAACGAAGCCTATTAAATCCTATCTGCACTCAGTGTTTTGTAATTTGATTAATAATATTAGAGTGGAAAACACAATACCACATTTACTTCTGATGAAACATCCCTCCACTCATTATCAATAAGCTGCTTATCCTGGACGGGCTCATTGCAAGCCAGAGCTTGTCCAGGGAGTATGGGCTGAACTGAGGGGACAAGACTGCACCTTCCCATATGGGATGATAGCCACTGCTGAAAATGACCAATCAAACTCGACCAGCGTGCATTTAGGAAGTGGCAGGAAATCAACGCGCCCAGAGATAAACCATGGAAACAGGGAGAGAATGTGCAAACTCCTAACAGAGGAAACACAGCCTGTCAGAATTGAATCCAGGACCCTGGCACTGTGAACCAGTAGCACTTGCTGCTAAACTGTCATCTAACCCTGTAATAATAATTAACAATTATTACTGTTAATCTGAATTTTCTATTACTCACTGTTGCAGAGAAAGCTTACAAGCATGCAAGAGAAAAACTCTCCCCAATTTTGTATTGCCCTTAGTATCATAGGAAATGACTTAGCATTCTTGAGTTTTATGGGGTATTAAGTGGAGATAAGTCAGGCAGATGGCCAAATATGGGCAGAGAAATAATTAGTATGTCTATATACAAATAGTCTATGCATTTCTGTTTGGAAAAACACAGTGTTCCTGTGGGGAGAGCAAATATTTACCATTATGTGTGGGAAAATAGCATCTTGTTCTAGCTCAGCTAGCTTAATTATGTTCATCCCAAGTGACTCACTGATGTATTTATTTTTTGCTTTACTGATTTTTGCAATCCTCCCCAACCAAGCACACACCCAAGTCTCCTCTGGCTGATTATTTACATTTACAAACACGTTATTCCTTTCAAGTACCTTTCAGACCTCTTTGGAGAAGATATAAAGATGTTTATAGTACTGCAGGAAATGTATTAATCAACAACAGATTAAATTCTACAACACTGAGGAGAGCACTGTGTTTAAATACTATGTATTGTCAAGTCTGAGAAATCTTTAAGAGTCTTATTTGCCAGGAGCTGGGTATTTACAGTGATTTAAATATGCCCTAGTTCACAAGGAATTTTGCTGCTCTTTATCCTAAAAAATCATTGTATACAGAAATTGCACAGCAGTTTAGCTGAAGTATACCCATCCCTCAATTTAAACACACAGCTGGTTTACATATTTTCTCTATAATGAAGCTTTGCATTCTATAATGAAGCAAAGCAATTTTTGTTATAACTAAGACATGATCTTGTCATTCAAACAGAAGACACCATGCTCAAAATGTTACCTTTCACAACACAGTTCCTCAGTGTGTCTCCTTTCTTTTCTACACATGATTTATCTTGCCTGTCTTTTTGATCACGGTACTAGTAATTATCATAAACAAGCATCTGTGCTCTTTCCTAATTCAGTGCTCTGTTAGGGCAAAAATAAGTATTATCAAATAATTTTCTGGACTATTGGAATTAATCAGAATATTTACATATGAAGAACAGTAATGAGAATTTCCTCTTTAGTTTATGAATTTTCACATTGGAAACATGTGACCTCCAGTACAACAAGGGCCTACGATAAGTCATAGCCTTTGTCTCAAAAAGCAACTTTAAAATAACAGCTATCAAGCACGTTTAGCATCAAATCTGTGAAAAGGAAGGAAAATGACCACTTTCTTCAATATCTGATCTCATCAAATTCTAATGCTGCAATTATTTTATTACCTGACTGCCTTTACCACAGGCAGTCACAGGCTGTGATTCCAACATTTGGCTTGACAATCACTAATGCAGAGAGACTGCCTTCAGCTATTGCAGGAAACCTCACATTGTTTGACCTTGGAGAGCTGTAACCTGTCATTTTCCCCCTCATTTTTATTTTATTCGTTTTTCAGTCCTCATCTACAAAGCCATGTTTTGCTGTGCAGTTTACATGAAGCTCAAACCTCTGAGAAATCACAAATCAGAGAGTTAAAATTTGAGAGGTGTACCCAGTGTCTTCAGAATAGTGGTATGGCCAGCAGTGAGCTCCTTGAAATTCAGAAGCTCATCTTTTTCTTCCTGCCATGAAGGGTCATAAAGGGCCCTGTTAGGATAAAGACTCAAAACCTTGCCCGAAGCAGAGACCAAGGAGAACAGAGACTGAAGGCAGAGCTGTGTGTTTTAGGTTGTTATATATTGTTTTAATTAACCAGAGCACTCGCATTTCCTTTTATCAGCTACAATACGGCGTTAATGTCAGGGACGGATTTAAGCCCCCTTGTATAACAAGCGTGGCTTTCAAAAACATTAATGAAACATAGGATGCAAAATCAATTATTTCGACTTAATGTGCAGTGTATACAGTACTGTTGTTTTATGAGCAAAATCACTGAAGTTCTGTTATTCATTTTCATATAAAAAAATGTATTATTATTATTGTTGTTGTTGTTTGGCTGTGGATTTAGGAGTGACAGTAGGATAATTGTGCATGTGTACAGAATCAACGCCTCATCTTTTATTGTTAACACTGGCTCCTTAGAATCCTTCAAGAAGTACAGTATCTGGGTAAGATTTTCAAACTGCCAACAGATAAGTGATCACGCTCCTTATCTTCATACTGTACATGAAAACCTTGTCACATTTAACATCAAAGTGCCTTGTTCTCTTCTTGCGGTTTGTAGGTAGGAGGCTGTTTTTCTTTAACAAATAACAAGGTTTTTAGATAGCATTCATTTGCGATTAAGAAGAAGGAATGGTTCACATCCTATTTTGGGCCTCCTGTGTTTCAGGAAACAAGTCAAAAGTAAATGAATCGTACCTTTTTCACCGTATCTAACATGGACCGTCCGCCCTGCCAAGGCTTGGAGTTTTTGCGGATGCAGGTCAGGCTAGCCATGCTGTGCCATTTTCTGTCCTCCAGTTTCTTATGGAAGGCATTAGCCAGCAACAGAACTGTGTCGTAGATGTAGCGATTTGTAATCTAGAAAACAAGAAGGAAAGAAATTCATGAAAAATACAACAAATAATACAATCTTCTTAAATCCATATAAACAGTCAATGTCCCAGTAACTGCCGCCTAAATAGTGATGAGACGCCAAGGTAAGAGGCAATGGATCAGTTTATTAACAAGTGAATATATTTCTTGTAAACACAAATTAAAAATCTTTGTCAATGTAAATGTAGAAATGTCATTGTTACCATTACCCGATTCCTTACACAGATTATTTATCTACATGGGGTGGTGTGGTGGCTCTGTGGCTAAGGATCTGGGCCTGTGGCTGCAGGGTTGCTGGTTCGTATGCTGTGGCAGGTAGAAGAATCCTCCTCCGTTGGGCCCCTGAGCAAGGCCCTTGACCCCAGGGGTTAGTATAAATGGCTGACCCTGCGCTCTGACCCCAAGCTTCTCTTCCTGTCTGTGTGTCTCATTGAGAGCAAGTTGGGGTATGTGAAAAAGATAAATTCATAATAAAATAAATTGTATATGGCCAATAAAGTGATCTTATTTCCAATACAAAAACCCTAAAAGGAAGGTCCATGAAATATTACTTACTGATTTCATTGAAAAGGCATGTTTATAAAAAAAATAACTGAGGAAAGTCTGATACTCCTTTTATCATGAATGTTAGTCTGAGCTAAAGAGTTTCTATAACTTTCTATAACATATGGACATGTTAAGTCAGACCATATTATTAGTGAGACATTTTTGTATTTCCAGGGGATGTGAAATAATCAATTACTTGGCATATGTACAGCACAAGATGGAAGTCTGGTAAACCAAAATACAGGGTGTTTTGTTATCTGTCAGGGAAATATGGCACTCACCCAAACATGGAAATGCAAAACACCTTCAAGCTTTCTTTTTCATTACATCTTCAAAATAAAAACACCTTACAGATCCTTTTTCAGATTGTCATAAGAACACAGATATTTATGAAATGACACTAAAGGACCACTTAAGTTTCAGCGTGTGTGGTCATGAGTTAAGGTGTTTCATAAAACCCTGGGACCTCTTTACTCAGGAATCAATTTATTCGTAAACCAAATATTAAACCATCACCTTTAAAAAGCTTTCAAAAATTACAAAGACATATTTAATATATTTTAAGAAATCTAATTATATTAAAATTGATTACACTGTGTAATATACAGTATACATCAGTTAATGATTAAACCAGTACAGCTTTTTGGTTTGTCTTCATTGTTATTATTAGGAGAAGAAATGCTGTAACTGTGGTTTATAAAACCATCTTCCTGAAGACCAGTTATAAGTTTTCTAATCTTGATAAAGACACCTTTACAGTGTACTGCATTTGTAACCCTGGGGAGTGACATTCTAATGTATACAGTATGTTTATGAATTCCCATTCATCAGTTCTACAGAAAACTGTTAAAAACACAATGCTTTCCAATTAGAAATAGAATATGAATGGGTGTGACAAATTCAGCAATACATACACTGAGCAATCCACCCTAAGTAGAGCAGTTCATGGTTTGTTAATAGACCTGATTTGTCTAACAAATTACTCCTCAACCTGCCTCCAAAGGAATCTTTTTATGCATCACCAGACAACGTCAGCCCCCCAGAGATTACAAATATGTTTATTTAATTATTTGCTGTGGGAATATTAAATAGGTTCAGCAGTGAAAGCGTACCCAGTGTTTGCCTGACCTGCAGGCTGTTTTGCTGATAGTAGTTTACAACGTCCCTCTTTCTCTTCTGTGGCTGTATTGAAGCTATACAGGCAGAAGAAGCTGTCTGCATATTTTCTGTATTTGCCACTTAATTTTTACCACCCAGACACTGACAACTATTCAATCCACCATAAATCCTGCTAAAGCATGCCACCATGAATGCTGCCAATAAGCTTTAGAGACCTTGCCAGTGCTCCAAATTCATGGCCCTTGGACAGCAAGAGCCCAAAGATGGCACAGTCAGCATTCTTAACTCTTGTGCCAGCTGTAGGTTGATTCAAATTCATGCCATCTGAGACATCTAAGGCAGGTCTAAAGTATAGCTGCACTGGGAGGCTTAACAAGCTAACTTGGAGAGCTCATCAATCACGATGATGAAATATCCATAACCTAGCTTTGAGTGATAAAGCTCTTCTGTAAAGCAGTGTTTATGTTGACACTCTTCAGATGAGATCACTGGTGGCTTGGATCCACAGTCACTCCTCTGCCATTCTGTCTGATCGTAGGCACATGTTTGTTCAAACAGAAAGGGGAGTGCAGCAGATATGCATGCCAGTATAAGAAGCAGAGACATATGCTGCCCCATTTAGTTTTCAAAGCAGGATTTTTAACACTCCATCACTGTCTCAGAACTAAGTGCCAGGTGTATCCAGGAATCTGAGCCAGTGAAATTTACACCACAGCCCGCCACAGATAAAAAGAAACACCTGTTAGCAATAATCAATTAACAGGTGGATCACATAAGATAATTTTCTACAAAACATTTTTGCAAAGTCATCTTTAAAATTAAATTAGTTTACTTATTTTTTTATTATACAGTATAACACATTTAGATGAAAACCAAAGGGATTCCATAAGACAAGGCTTTCAATTTCAAACCTTCCGTTCAAACAATAAAACTTAAAACAAGACAGAATACTAGAAATACAGAAGAAAAAATATGCTTGAAATTGTCATTATGTATTCTAAAAAAATAAAATAATATAGTCTTTAGGTTTACAGTTAATGAAAGAATTCAGAATAAAGGATTGCTGTAACCTTGGCACAGACCCAAAATGAAACAGGCACAGCAATATAAATGTTACAGAATATAGTAATTACCAGTATCAATCCCAAACTTACATTGTCATCAGCTATCCCTCACCGTCAACGATGGTTCTCTTCCTTGAACACAAAGAAAGAGGCCAGAATAGGATCTATACTCTCTCTAGCTGCTTGAGCAGGGAAATACCAGGTTGTAATTTGCAATCTGATCATGACAATCCTTTGACACTTTGCTTTGCTTCCTCATTCTGACATCTTTGTGTATAAAAATGCTGGACTTCCTCCAGGATAGTTCACCATCTGGCTCAGTCACAGGCCATGATCTCCTGGGAGTTCATATCAATGTTGCATTTTTTCAATATTTGCTTTTACCACTTTTTTTAAATGCTTTTTCTATCCTGGGGTGTGATTCCCTTTACTAAGCTGGAAGAAAACTTCATTCTTTGAGAGCTAAGTATCTGATATTATATATCAAGTAAGGTCTCGAGAACTGCAAATTTGCTTAATCACAATTTGGCCTGGCTGAAAGGGTCTTGGAAAGGGTATGGAAACCAAGTCAAAAGTTGTTAAGCTCAACTTTCAATTTAGTCGTGCAACAGAATAGGATCATGAACTGAATCTAGCTACTGAGGGAGCCTGCCCTGCCCATTGCCAAAGTACCCACTGACCAGTATCTGTATCTCAACACGATCTTATTTTTGTATTGTAATGAATACTCTTGGTTCTGTGTCGGGAAAGTGGGAAATGACAGGCTGGAGATTACTTTACAGACTCACTGACAGTTTTATTTCCCCTTTCTTTAAAGTAAGGCATATAAATTATTGAGCAGGGAAGACAGAGAGGGAAAGTGCAGGTATCCACTGGATGCAGAGGAGGGATTCATGTTTATTTTAGCTGATGACTATAAGTTTGTGAATACAGTTGTTTGTATTAGTTGATCAATGTTATTTTAATTAATATAAGGCTAATGTATAAGTACTATAATTCTCATATACAGATGCAGCCATTCAAAGTGTGTGGTACAGACACGTACCGCAGGTAAGATGACACGGGGTACCGCGGTGCGTGATTGGTTGACCGACAGGGGCACTCGTGGTCCGTTGGTCTGTCGTAGAAAGACTTACTGTAAACGTCTTTACTGTGCCCGTTGTAGATATTGAATTTTACCACTGAAGGGAAATCTTAGTAGCTGAGCATAAAAAGAATAGGAGCATACTGTAACGCGTGTGAAGGCCATAAACGATATTAATTTTGGATCGTAAACATACAGTATATAGCTGGTCTTGGTACACACCAGTATTCCATTTCTCCCTAAACATTGTAAGCTTCGAAGTCTTTAACTAACGTGATACCGGAATCAACAAGCATACTTTTAGAATTTGATTAAAAGGGAATATAATATGGAATCGCGTATCTCAAGAATTTAATAACGTTATGATTATATCCATGTACTGCGGCAGGGCTATGTAGGGCTGTTTCGCCTGCCTGCTCATGCGAGCTGTCTTGTAGCCTACTGGTCTAGGTGGGTGACTACCAACTGGCAGGTTGTGTGTTCGAATCCAGCTGGTGCTGGACCTTTCAGTTTTATTTATTTATTTTTTAATCGCATAACATAAACATATTACCGTATGCAAACTGTACTGTATACAATATGTATATGTATATTTAATATCTTAACTGTGCCCGTTTAAGTATTGAATATTCATATCTAATTTTACCACTGAAGGGAAATCTTAACATAAACATACAGTACTGTAGGGAGGGTTAGCCACACATATTTCGTTTAGCCACACATACTTCATACTGTAGTGCATAATGCTATGGTATGGGGGTGCAATTAGCTATTGTATATGTGAACTATTTGCAACCATTCTCTGCACCAAACCCTCACTAACTACTTGGGACAGAGGACTGATTTCAATGTGACACCTGAAGAAGGCTCCACGGCCGAAACGTTGTGTTCTCTTTCTTCTTTTTTTCAGCATAGAATAAACCTATTACTTGTTCCTTTGCAGCCTACGCATGCTGATGCAGCTACCCACCTGAACTACAGAAGAGAATGATGCTCTGTTTCATGAAGCATTAAGTGCTCTTCCCATTATGCGCCTCTCACTTTGCTGCATTTTGTGGCCCCCAATAATTACAAATCCAGAATAAAAAAAATGAAAATTAGATTTGATAGATAAAAGAAATAATTAAAAATCCCCAAAATATAAAGTGGGAGTTTCAGTTTCTGGTTGAAAA